TATTATATTATTAATTATAATAAAATTAAAAATATTGAGTAAAGAAAATGAGAAATTCTATTATTTTTTAATTAATAAAAAATTTAATTTATTATAAAAATTTAATTTAACACTTTCAAATTTTTTATCCAAGTTCCACCACTGTTTATCATGTAATGATAATTTAACACGCCATTAAAAAAAGTAAAATTTTGTTAATGTATATGCAAAATTAAATCTAATCAGTAACTTCAATAACCAATGTTCTTTTTCTCATTTTCTTATTTTTAGTCCTTATGTTATTCATTACATGTCTTAAATCGGAATTGATTGATACAAATAACTTTTAACTACAAAGAAAGTGACTTTATCAACGTATTTCTATCAATTTATATATTTATGAGATTAACTTAGATTGACTTGTTTGTTTAGATTGTCTTTTCTCATATTTTTAGTGAAAAAAATTAGTAGGCTAACCGGTTGATAAAGGAAGACATCTCATTGTTAATAATCTAAATATTTGATTTGCGTATTCTCTTGATTTACTTTTACCTGTTTATGTTAATTCGGTGAGAATTTTTTTTCCTTAAAAACAATTAGTTGTTTGTTTTGTCTCTCTTTTTTCAACTTTCTCATTAATAAAAAAAAAACCCAAAGCTATAAAAAAAAAAATTATGCATATTTTGATTTTCACCCCTTAATAACATTTGAAGAATGGTTTTATATTTATTTGCAACCACAATTTAGGTACTTTGAATTATAAGTAAGTTTAGATGTTTTTTTTAATAATTACTTATTAAAGAATTAAATAAAGAGATAAATTGAATTAAAAAATCATAAATTAAAATAAATTATTCCTAATTTTTTTCAAATAGTATATTGTCAATAATTAATGTTGCTTTTCTTTTTCTTCCTTCACAGAGTTATCCATCGCATGTCTCGAATTGGTCTTGATGAGGATGTGATGACTTTGTAAACGTATTTGCAACGAACCACGCGTCTACGAGATTAATTTTCATTGACTTAGTCATTCAGGGAGGAAAAAAATTAAAACTTTAGTGTGGTTAAAAACCTCTTTTGTCACTGATAATATTTTTTTTCTTCAATTTAGTCCCACTTTAATTTTAGGTCTTAATTTAGTCCCTAATAATTTAAACCATTGCAATTTGAGACTTCCGTCCAAATGATTTAAACGGGGTTAACTCCTACTGACGTAGATGTCAGGTGAATGTCACGTAGATGCACAGGTGAATGTCAAATGTCATGAATACACTTGGAACCAGAACGACCCGTTCTGAAACTAGAACGGCCCATTCTACATGCACATGTTATGTGTTAAGTTTGCAACTGGAATGGACCGTTTCAAATGCAAATTTAACACAACATGAGTGCAGCAGAACGGGCCGTTCTGAAACCAGAACGGACCGTTTTGCTGTTAGAAAGGGCCTTTATGAATTCAGAACGGCACGTTCCAGAACGCCAACTCATGCTTTTTATTGTATTTTTTTTATTATATCTATATTAATAAAAATATAATAAATAAAAATACAATAAATTAATATTCATTTATGAATAAAACTATAAAAAAAGAAAAAAAATCAAATAAGATAAGACTTTCCAAAATCTTTCTTTGATTTGAACTTATCCGGTTCAAAATCTTGACTAAAATGCCGCAATGTGATTCAAAAATTGAAAATAAAAATTCATAATATATCATAAATTCAAAGACAGAAATATGATTCAGAAACTGAAAACAAAAATTCAGAACATAACATATACTAAAAAAGTTCAAAGAAATTATTGAGAAAGGAAATCATCTAGGTAACGCTGAAGGGAAACCCTAAACCACAAAAATTCAGGTTGTACCTTCGCAAGAACAGGTTATTATTGTTGGGGTACATCGTCAATGACTTCAAGGAGAAACACCATTTCGTTTCATCCTTGATTGTATAGTGTCAATTTGGTAGTAAGTGATTCACTCCAGTTTGACTAACAATGAAATAAAACTTGTTACCATTATCCTTAGTGATACACTGCAACGTCCTTAATGATACATGTATAGCCTAAATATTTAGCAATTGAAGTTATCAATCCCTATTAACAATATTACCAAATCTAGTGTATGAAATGCTTTGTACTTTAGTTTTTTCTGCATGAAATTCAGGAACCAGAACGGCCCGTTCTGGTTACACTGTTGGTATGTTAATTTTGCATCTGGAACGGCCCGTTCCAGGTACAAAATTTACACACCAATAATAAAACCAGAACGGGCCGTTCTGGTTTCAGAACGGGCCGTTCTGGTTCTAGGTGTATTCAAGTATTTTGGGATCCACCTACGTGGCATCCACGTGGCCACCAGTTAACTCCGTTTAAATCATTTAGACGGAAGCCATTTAAATTATTAGAGACCAAATTGAAATTTAAAACTAAAGTGGGACTAAATTGAAATAAAAAAATATTATAAGGGACCAAAAGAGATTTTTAACCAAAATTTGAGGAGAGCAAGTAATATATATATATATATATTTTTTTTTTTGAATTTAAAATGTTTCAGATAAAATATTTTGTCTAAATAGGAAATAGTGAAAAATATTTTTTTTTTATTTTGTTAAAATTGTTGAATTTAAAAAAATTGAAATTCTCTATACTTACATTTTCTCTATTATGTCACTTATATATCTCTCCTTTATCTTATTTATATACCACTTTTTTATGTCTATCTTCTCTTACTTTTTTCTCTTCTCTCTCATCTCTGTTGCTTTCATCCGTGCTAGCTTCCTCCTTTCTTCTTCTTTCCGAACACAATTTAATGTTCCATTTGATAACCTTGATTTGTAATAATAATTAAAAAAGGGACAGAAATAAGAATAAATTCATTCATGCGTACTTGTTTGATATCACTAAAAATAAAAGGAAAGAATAAAAAAAAATGTGGTGGATTCCGCTTGATATTACATGTGAGTTACTCATTAAAGGTAAACAGATACTTTTTTTTTTATAACCTATTTTTTCTCATTCCATTCGAACCAATTATCTTTACATTATTTCTCTTTTCTCCTCCTTTTATTTCTCTTAAACCAACCAATTAAAATTTTCAATTTATTTTCACTTATTTCTTTTCTATTTTAGGCTCACTTATTTTTTGTTACTATTTTTTTCCCTTCCTAAATGTCTTTCGATCCCATACGATTTTAGTCTCATGATATTGACATGACATGGGGTTGATATCACAAATGATGTTAATGTGTTAATAACTATGATAATGTGTAATATAATAATAAGAAAAAATCTTGCCCAAATATTTAAAGATAATATCATAAACTTAAAACCCTAAACTATCAGATTAATAGCTCCTTGGATATGTATATAAGTTATAATATATAATTATTTATACTTTCGGTATAAACTGAAATTGTACAAATATCTACATGGAATCAAAATCAAAATGTATGAATTCATACATTTTGCATCGACTAAATACATATTTATTATTTAAACCATCTACAAGCATAATTTAAGGAGCAAAAACCTTATATTGCCTATTTCAGAGGGAAGAGGTTGTATTTTATTATACAAAATGAGATTCAAATATAAATTATAAACTACTTTTATACCTCATCGTGGAATTTATGAAAATAACCTGAAAACTGTTTTTTAGTATATCATACGATATTTTCATGGCTATTGATACGGTGCCAGTTTATATGAGAGGGTTTTGGTACTGTTTTTATATCAACAAATAAGATATTGACACGTGTATTTAATAACCTAATTCATGGTTAACTCTCTCATAACCGGTCAAGGGGTAATTATGAAATTTCACTAAATCTTGAAACCTGATTAGGGTCAGCGGTTGACGGAAAGATTAGAGTCGAGATTAACAAATCATGTAGGAGTTGCAGGAGCCGTCGGTGCGATAGGTGCAATAGAGGGGGATGTCGGTGCAGGCAACAACGAAGGCGGTGACATTGATGTAGTGTGGCAGAGGCTGGCAGCAGAGCAGTTGAGGGGGGATTGGATCCCCTGGTGGGCTTTGTCGGTGGGGACGTAGGTGTTGGACAGGAGAGGTGTGGGTTGGATGACGAGGCCTTGGGCTTTGGGGTTGATGGAGAGGATGGGGCATGAGTTGTTGAGCGTGTCTAAGAGGACGCTCTTGCTGTTGCTGCACCTGATTTTGTAGAAGGGGTCACTGCATGAGGCGGTCGTGCTAAGGGAGAACGACACCATTGTGTTGCAGGATGAACTCACGTGAGTCGCGCGTGACAGGAGGAGAAGGAGGGGTGTCGGTGGGAGGATGAGGCTCCCGTGGAAGTCATTGGGTTGTACTGCGGATGTCGTCACCGTCGCCTACACCAACACCCCCCCCTCTACTGCACCTACTGGTTTGGAAATTCAGTGAAATTCCACAATTATCCTTGACCGATTATATGAGAATTGATTATAACTGGGCTTATTAAACACGTGTCAGCGTCTCATTTGCTAATAACAAAAGGGGCACTAAAACCCTCTCATATAAACTGGCACCGTAGCAATAACCTATTTTCATATCAAATAAGCAATCCAAATGTACACCATAAGAGAAGCTTCGGAGGCAGAAACAGAGATGGCTCTATCAAACCAGGAAATGGTCGACAGAGGCAAAACGCAGAAGCACACAGAAGTTCAGAATCAAAACAGTGATTTTGGACTCACCTCTGCGAAATGCCGGCAGAGGGTATGAGGCGGAGAGGCTGCTACTGAACGAATGGAAAGTTAGGAGAGATTTCGGATAATTTGGGTGAGGATTTGTGGGTATTTTGTAACACAGCTCTCAAAACCTGACCAACCAGCCAAGCTGTAACAAACACGTCCAAATCAGAAAATATTACAAATCCTATGATCTTGCGAGTATGACATAAGCGATTTCACTTCAATCACGCAAAGTTGCAATCCAACACAGATGGGGATGAAACTTGAATACGGCGATCCTACTAAGTATGATGCAAAATTTGACAACAATGGTGCATGCACACTAATGACTATGTTTCACAATCGAACAGTGTTTTCAGACAATGAGTTATTACCCCAATTAACGTTTAAGTTTAAAAAGTGTTATATGTCCAGAAGTAGAAGAAACAGAGTACTTTATCTGAGGGATATCTATAAATAAGTTTACAATGTGAATATACAATCATATATAGGTTCCTAAGTTTAAGTTTCAAACGAAAGAGACCATTGCTGCCTTTCAAGTTCTTTATTTCCAATATCACAATTGTTGGTCTTCTTCTGCAGGCCAATGGATAATCACTTGCCTGGCTTGCTCCAGCCAATTGGCAATGCATCACATCCATGGAATTTCACATCCCCCAAATGGGCAATTCTATTTCTACCTGATACCATAGAAACATCCATCAGCACAACATTCTTAACAACACTCAATCGGATAAATAACTAGCACATGTAAGCAATGGTATGTTAAAATTAGAACTCGTGAGGGAAAGA